TTGTTTTTTTTAAATTAATTTTGATTGTTGTTTTAAATACAGAGTATGTCCGCAAAATACACGTTACAAAGTACATATCAATGAACCTAGCTGCTTGCAGTTACAGGTGCTATAACGTTTCTCTTATTTGGTTGCTAATACTGCTTGAAATGCCTGTTACCGCCAGGCCTTCCTGTCTTCCGCCGTCCTCTGAAGTTGGCTCAATTTCATGTTCGTTGCATCGATGACACTGTCTAACCATCTCATATATTGGACACCTTCCGACCTGAGGGGCTCATCTTCCGGCGTCATATCTTTTAGCCTTTTGTTACTGTCCATGGGGTTTTCTTGGCAAAGATACTGGAGTGGGTTGCCATTACCTTCTCCAGGGGATCACGCTTGGTCTGAGTTCTCTGCTGTGGCCTGTCCGTCTTGGGTGGCCCTCCACGGCATAGCCCACAGCTTCATCGAACCACGCAAGCCCCCTCGCCACGACAAGGGGGTGCAGAGGAAAACCCACATGGGCAGATTGGAGACCCAGCAGTGCAGCGTTGGGCAGACGCTCCCGTGCCCCAACAGACGATTGTTTGCAAAAAAAAAACACACAACCCCCCCCCAACAACCCCATGTGCAAACGCTGATGCATGCGGAGGTACGAATGCGGCCGCAGTGGCCCCCAGTTTACCAGTCCCTGAAGGGGTTCTGCTTGACTGCTGCTGGCACCCCTAACTGGGGTAACCCTGGAGAATCCCAACTTGCAGCAGACTAGTAAACTCCAGTGTTCCCTCTAAGCTGAGTTAGTGCGAGCCTAGCTCACAGTTTTCCAGCCTCCGGCTCACACATTTTTGTCTTCGCTCAGGAAGGATTGGCTCCAGAGCCAAAGTAATTCATGCAGTCGCCAAATCACTTGCGCACAGGTTTTATGCCAGTAGCTTGCAAAGTAGAACGTTTGCTCACAAGCCTGCACAGCTTAGAGGGAACATTGGGCCTCCGCTCCCGCTCGCCTGGCACGGGACGCTCCCTGACTCTCAGCACGGAGCCCGTTTGGACGCTAGGGCGCGTGCGCAGAGGCGCCCCCCTCCCACTCGGGGCGCTCGCCAACCACGCGGGCGGCCGGAGCGTTCCCCGTTGCCAAGGGAACGGCCGTTGCCTAGCGCCCGGTGAGGCGAGGCCGGGCCGGAGCACCGGGGCCTGGAAGGGCGCTCTCGGGCCGCCATGAGCTCCAAGCCGG